GTTTACTAGCACCTATAATTTTATTTGTTGCGGTTTTATTTAAATTTTGTGTTTTAACATATCTTGCAGTTTATATATATATCTTTTTCTGTGAGCCGCCCTGCAGCCGTGGAGGGCAAGATACAAATCAAACAGATGAATAAAAATAAATAAAATGTTCTCATCGAGGCTGTGTTAGGGAGAGGGAGAGCCCCACAGCACTGCTTTCAGCATGTGTGTTGTAGAGAGAAATTGGAGTGAACAAATTCATCTCTCTGTTAGCCGGGCGAAGCTGCTATGATGGGAAAGGTAGGTTACTGGTCGCCTGCAGTCATCTGGGCCTTCCCCCCCCACCACCTTCTGTGCCCGGATTGGAATAATACAAGCAGTCGGGGGGTTGTGGAAGAGAGACAACGTTCGGGAGCACAGCTCCACGATAGCATGTGTTGCATCACAATGCGGGAATCGTAGCTTGGCGCTTTCCAATACTGTTCCCAGCATGGCCAGTTTAGCGGTAGACATGAATGTGTCCAAATTGTTTGACTCAAACTACTGGGGGAGGGAGCCATCCCATGGCTCTCCCCCCCCCCCCAGCTCTCTAGTCAAACAAGAGGCAGCCGTGGATACTAAGAGGGATACCCTGAGGTCCTGAAATCTGTGACGTGGTTGAAAAGGGTGGGGGAATGTCTCTTTAAAAATCTCCATAAGGGGTATCCAACCTTTGTGAGCCTGTGGGCAGCTTTGGGATTCTACAGGGTGGGTGCAGCTTCAAGATGGCTGCCACAAAATGGCTGCTACAGGAGGCGGAACCAGTACCACAATGGCTGCTGCAGCCGCTTACCTTCAGTGACACAGTGAAGATCCTTCTGCTTCTGTGGTAGCTGCCGCCAAAGGGACACCTTCAAAAATTTCCACAGCTGGGCAAAAGCCCCACCAGGTCCTGCCCCTGTTCTGAAAACACCCGGCGGGTGCCAAGAAAGTTGTCAGAGGGCACCATCGTGCCCATAGCGCCCGTGGGCGTCATGTTGGGGACCCTTGATCTCCATGGGTGGGTTTTGATTGGCAGTATCACAGGCAGGGCTCTGGCGCACTTGCATGGGGAAGACATCCATTCTTGTGTTGCCTACTCGAAACCCTGTACCTGACTCCTATTTGTATTGGTGCACAAATGTCTCCCAACAGCACAACTGGCTCCAGAAATCCCATGTGCGCCGCCCTCGTCCTCGCCACACCGTCTCTGCCTTTGACAGCTCTGGGCTGTCGACTGCTTGCTGAGAAGGCTTTCAAAGTCTTGCTTTTGTGCTTTGGGGGTTTAATCTTTGTGGGGGGAGGGCTTCGCGCAAGATGCTCTTTTTCCTGGAGCGGTCGGAAGAAGCTGTCTTGAGCGTCTGGATCTGTGTCACTAGAGGGCGCCAAAACAAGCCAGGAGATCGGTAACCCTGACATTTCCGAGCCCTTCCCTGCAAGCTCTCTTGCCTCGGGAAGGAGGAGTGAAAAATGGCCTTTTCTATTTGCAGTTTTGCCATTAAAGTGCCGTAAAACCAGGCTGTTGTGCAGAGGATTTATTGCTGACTAGGGACATCTTAGGAATTCGATTTAGCTGCCTTTTTGGCCATCTTTCAGGTGTTTTCTGCTTTTCAGAAAATGAAATAAATAAATAAATGGGTTGATTGTACAAATGGCTGCCTGGTTAGTGGAATACAGCACTCTATTTCTTATTTTCTTTCTCTGTGTGTGTCTGTCTCTCTCTCTTTTAGTCCCTCACACGCTACCTTTTGCTCTATCTGTCCATTTCTTCCTCCATTCCTCCTCTCCCTCCCTCTTCCTCTCTTTCTCTTTTTCCCTCCCTAATCTGTGAGAACCGGGTTTGATTCCCCACTCCTCCACTTACAGCTGCTGAATGACCTCGGGCAAGCCATGGTTATGTCAGAGCTGTTATCTCAAGAGCAGTCCTCGAAAGAGCTCTCTAAGCCCCACCTACCTCACAGGGTGTCTGCTGTGGGAAGGGGAAGAGAAGCCGCTCTGAGACTCCGAGTTAAGGGCAGGGTATAAATCCAATCTCCTCCTCTTCCTCCTCCTCCTCCTCCTCCTCTTCTTCGTCCTACTTTTATCCCCGATGGGCACACAAAGCGGCTTACACCATTCTCCTCTCCTCCAGTTTATCCTCACAACAACCCTGCGAGATAGGCTAGGCTGGGAAGTTATGTGACTGGTGCAATGTCACCCAGCAAGCTTCCATGGCAGAGTGGGGATTTGGTAGTCTGACAGTCTTACCCAGGGGTTCCCAACCTTTTTTTAGCCTGTAGGCACCTTTGGAATTCTGACACAGCATGGTGGGCGCAGCCACAAAATGGCCACCACAAAATGGCTGCTACAGAAGGCGGACCCTGACATACAATAGCTGCAACAGTTTCCCTTCAATCACATAGTGAAGATCTTTCAACAGTGGTGGCAGCTGCTAACAAAGCAATGTTCTAAGAATTCTGCACAATCAATCTGAGACTCCGCGTGAAGGGCGGGGTACACATCCAGTCTCTCCTCCCTCCCTCCCGCTATTTAGGTTTTAAGCCTTGTGTGGCTTTCCACATAGATCGACTTAAATAACGATGTCAGAAAATACATCCAGGTGGCCAGCCGTGTTGGTCTGAAGCAGTTGTCGTATGTACGAACATACATGCTTGGTATAAACTGGTATTTTGAATCGAAAGAGGTTGTGTCGGTCTGTTGCAGTGAAATGAAGACAGGAGCCCACCAGCACCTCAAAGACTAATGAAAAGCCATATAATCGGAAGCCATTTGGGCCCCATTCGCGTTTTAGGCCTCCAGGTGGTGCCTGAAGTTCTCAGGGAATTAGATGTGATCTCCGGACTACCGAGATTGGTTCCCTGGAGGAAATGGCAGCTTTGGAGGGTGGACCCTGTGGCATCACGTCTCAGCTGACTGTCGTCCTTTCCCCAAATGCCACCATTTCCAGGCTCCACCCCCAAACCTTTAGGAATTTCCCAACTCAGAGTTGGCAACCATGGATAGACATAATCCAGTTGTTCTTCTTGTCCTTCTCTCGCTATGCTTCTGCATGGGCTCCCTCCGGCAACCGAGTGCCTCCCCCCCCCCCAGTGTATCGTGAGGCAACTCTGTGCCTCTCATAATGTGAGGGAGACCAACAGGAAGTGACCTGTAGTGCGGAAGTGAGAAAAAGTCAACTTTTCCGGTGCTTTCCCTGTCTAGAAAACATGCAGTTGCCTAGGGCCCTTCTAAGCATCACAACCTTTTTAGTTCTACAAAACATATGCCTATTTTATTTTATTTTTTTACTCAAGAAGACAGAAGTATTAACTCGGTTGTCTCACTTTGAAGGGAAATTAATCAGCTATTTTAAGATCCGCCTCATCAGTGAAACTGCTATAAATATCTTTCACCTCTTGGGAGAAGTGCAAAATGAAATGTCTCTTAGCTTGCTCAGGAAAAGCTGACATGGTTTAATCACGATGGCTACATCCAAAGTCCTGGAATGTCAGCGAACTGCGGTCCCAAATTAGGCTGGGGATAGGTCATGCTACAGTTTAAAATGTTAAAAGGGGGTTGGGGGGAATCCAGGAATAAGACTATCTCGGTCTTTAAAGAATCAGAACAAAACGTTGCCTTTAAAGCTGATTGATGTACCTTTGGTTATCAGGAAGGAAGTGCTGTTGTTGCCCTGATAGGATGGGTGTATGAAAGGAGTTTGTCAATCAATTCTCATGCATAGGATTTTTTGATCCATTTGAATGCTGCCCATGATGTTCAAGTTATAAATCACCAGGTGATTTGTTTCATTTGACCATGAGCTAAACTGTTGTCATATCTAAACATTTGTTTTCAGTTAATAGTCATATCCAAAAATCCGTGTGCGGTTTGTCATTATATCCAGGGCTCTAGTCGGGGGGGAGCTCTCAGGTACGGAGCTCCGGAAGAGAACCTCTAGGGGGTGGGGCGGTCACGTGGTGAAGCCCCGCCCCCTTCTTTACCCCGCCCTCTGCTTCGATCCTCATTCCGTTTGGGAATGAGGATGAAGCAGGAGGGTAAGTAGCCGGGCCTTCTGACACACTTCCGGTGATGTCAGGGGGTGTGGCCTTCTGTCACTTCCGGTGATGTCAGGGGGCGTGGCATATGCAAATAAGTTATGCTAATGAGTTATGCTAATGAGCTCCGGCAGCTCTTTTTCTACAACAAGACCCCTGATTATATCCAAATATTCGTATGTGCTTCCATATCCAAATAATTGTATGGAGTTTTTTATTATATCCACATACTCGTGTGCCATTCATTGTTATCTCAAAATGTTTGTGTGCAGTCTACTGTAATCTCTTAATATTTGTCTGTGGGTTGTTGTTCCATCCGGATATCTGCGTGCAGTTCATCGTTATATCTAAATATCCATGCGTAGTACATTGCTGTATCTAAATAGCCATATGCAATTCATCAATTTATTCAGATATTTGTATGCAGTTTGTCATTACATCCAGATATTCACATGCAATTCATCAATATATCCAAACATTCATATGTTGTTCAGTATCCAAATATCTGCGTGAATTTTGCCATTGCATCCAAGTATCCACGAACAGTTTTTCGATATATACCTATATTCATGTGCAGTTCGTCCTGATATCAAAATATTCATCTCTAGTTTGTCATTAAATTTAAATATTTGTGTTGGTTGTTATAGCCAGATATCCGCGTGCAGCTTTTCATTATATCAATATTCATGTGCAGGTCGTCGTTATATCTCAATATTCATGGACAGTCTGTCATTATTTTTAAGTATCCATTTGCAGTTCATCAGTAGTTCCAAATATTTGTGGCGGTTCGTTATTATATCCAGGTGTTCGTGCAGTGTGTCATTGTATCCAAATATTCGTGCACAGGTCTGCCTCTTCTTCTAGCCTCCCTACCTGAACTTTCACGTCGACGATGATGTCTATGTGTTGTTTTCTCTCCCACCTTCTTTGTTGATCCCATTTGTGCTTATTTTTTTTTAGGTTGGCAACCACGACTCCGGCAAAACCAAAGTCCTCCACCTCAGTGAGAATCCAGCTAGCCTGGCCAAGCGGCAGCATCAGCAGGAGCAGGCCAACCTGCGTGAGGAGTGCCAGCGCTTGAGAGAGCGGATACAAGTGCTGGAAAGAGGTGACTCCCCCCCGGAAACCTCAGAGGGGTCTGCAAGTCTCCCAGAGGGGGCCACGAGTCTCCCGTCCACCTCAGAAGTCTCAGGTACGTGCCTCCCTCTGTAGGCTTACCAGTGAGCTACTCATCGGAGTGTTACTTTATTGCAGCAGTCCCATGGCATTTCAGTGACTAACAAAATTTATTCCTATGGGATCTTCAGTGAATCAGAGCACATTTTACCAGAGGCATTGGAGTGGTGGTGGAAAGTTCCATCAAGTCACAGCTGATTTTTAGCAACGCCATAGGGTTTTCAAGGCAAGAGACATCCCGAGGTGGTTGGCCATCGCCTGCCTCTGCATAGCAACCCTGGTCTTCCTTGGTGTGGTGGTTAAGAGCACGAACTTTAATCTGGGAGAACTGGGTTTGGTTCCCCACTCCTCCACATGCAGCTGCTGGTGGGACATTGGGTCAGTCACAAGTTCTTTCAGAGCTGTTCTCTCAAGGGCAGTCCTTGAGAGAGCTCTCTCAGCCCCACCTACCTCACAGGGTGTCTGTTGTGGGGAGGGGAAGGGAAAGGGGATTATAAGACGCTCTGAGACTCCTTTGGGTAGTAAAGGGCAGGGTATAAATCCAGTCTCTTCTCTCTTCTCTTGGTCGTCTCCCATCCAAATACTAACCAGGGCTGACTCTGCTTAGCTTCCAAGACCTAATGAGACGGGGCTAGCCTGGGTCATCCAGGTCAGGGCAAGAGACAGACAGAGGTGGTTTGCCATTACCTGCCTCTGCGTAGCAACCCTGGACTTCCTCGGTGGTCTCCCATCCAAGTCCTAACTAGGACCGACCCTGTTTAGCTTCCAGGATCTGATGAAATCAGGCTCGTCGGGGCCATCCAGGTCAGAGCAACAGACAGACAGAGGTGGTTTGCCGTTGCCTGCCTCTGCGTAGCAACCCTGGGCTTCCTCGGTGGTCTCCCATCCAAGTCCTAACCAGGGCCGACCCTGCTTAGCTTCCAGGATCTGATGAAATCAGGCTAGCCTGGATCATCCAGGTCAGGGCAAGAGAGAGACAGAGGTGGATTGCCGTTGCCTGCCTCTGCGTAGCAACCCTGGACTTCCTCGCTGGTCTCCCATCCAAATACTAACTTCTTAGCTTCTGAGATCTGATGAGATTGGGCTAGCCTGGGCCATCCAGATCAAGACATTGGCACGCTCATCCACATTTATAGTTAAAAGTTGCCTTTGTTGGTACCTGAAACTTTAAATGTATCCGATATGGAAGTATCCCCTCGTGTGTCTGCTAAAGCGAGCTCTAGTTTGCAAAGGCTTTTGCCGAGATAGATATTAAGAGTCTTTAAGAGGAGTCACTGGAGTCCTGAATATGGAAGTATCCCCTCATGTGTCTGCTAAAGCGAGCTCTAGTTTCCAAAGGCTTTTGCCAAGATAGATATTGGGAGTCTTTAAGAGGAGTCACTGGAGTCCTGCCACGACTGCTACGCTGGCTCCCCATCCGGAATTCTGCACTGTGCTGTGTTTTCCACAGGTTTCAGTTCTGTCCGTTCGCCCCTTCGTGAGATACATGTAGATACACCAAGACCGGGGGTCCCTGATCTTTTTGAACATGTGGGCACAGGGCACCGGGTGCAGCTGCGTAATGGCTGCCTGTCTGGAATTACCCTCAATGGCAGTGCTCTTCTTACTGAACCAGGTTCTTCGGCAGTGGGTGGAGATGATGTTAGCGGAGAACAAAGAAGAACTCCAAACGTTGTTCTGAAGAGCACTCGCTGGGCCGATTTTCTTTTTTTTCTCTCATCAGATTTCTTGCACTAGCAGCATTACCAACAGAGATTTTCAAAATGCACGTACCCTTGTTCAAGGGACCATTTAAGTGCTAGTAATGATAGCTAGACTCAGCGATCCAGGCAGAGAGACAAGGGTTCTGAGAAATGTATTTAATCTTGGCTTGAAACTACGCAGCAGGGAGTGAGGGGAGGCCTCTTCGTCATTCTTCTGATAGTGCCCGCACTGACACACCGATAAAGCTCGAAATGGAGGGTCGCGTCTGCTATGCTGGGTGTTAAATTTGAGATAGCTAAGAAAGAGAGTGCCGCGTCAGAAGGACTACATTGGTATGAGATGTGGTCTGCTACGCTGGGTGTTAAATTTGAGATAGCTAAGAGAGTGCCGCATCAGAAGGACTACATTGGTATGAGATGTGAAGAACTGATTTTTTTTTAACAGCATCATCGTTTACTACTCTGACCTTTATAGCCCAGGCTAGCATGATCTCATCAGATCTTGGAAGCTAAGCAGGGTCGGTCCTGGTTACTGTTTGGATGGGAGACCACCAAGGAATACTAGAGACGTGACGCGGAGACAGGCAATAGCAAACCACCTCTGAACACCTCTTGCCTTGAAAGCCCTACGGGGCCTCCATAAGTCAACTGTGAATTGATCGCGCCTTTTCACCACCATCCTCTAACAAGGGTCTTGTTTCATCAGGTGTAGAAACCTTAGCTAAGAATGATGGTTCAGTCCCCCCCCCCCCAGGGACCCACTGCCACCTGACCCAGGAACCACAAGGTCTTGTAAAGAAGGGTTGGGTGTCAGGTAGGCTTCACGATACCCCTTGATAGATACCCCACAGTTTTTTCAAGAGTCAAGATAGGCACTGCAGAAGGTGTTGCTGGAACATCCGAGTCTTTTGTCGTGGAGACAAGGGTATATTTGGGGGTCGTGACGATAACCACCGACCTGTCACTATATAAATGAGCATGCGGATGACATCTTCTGTTTTCGTACCCATGTGATATGTAGCTTGATGTAGAATCAGTTGCTTCCCTTGTGGGGTTGGAAGAGGGAAAGAAATGGAGGATCTATTTATCCCACCTGCTCCAGCGGCGAACCTGTTGTTCGTCTGTGTTGATGGGATGCGTGAATATTAGCGAGTACCTCTGTGTCATGAACAAAGTAACCTTTGATCAGATTTGACTCATCTCTTCCCCCCCGAGACTCTCTGACAAGGCAAAAGCTCCTTTCCACCACCACCCCTCCCCACTTAACCACAGTGCCACTTCTTAATGAGATCGGAACGAGGTCAGTTTCGCATAGCTACTGAGGGAAGTCTGTACATCAAAGGGAACAACGTCAGTCCAACTGTAACTTGTCACCGCAGACACAGGGAAATGAGCAAATGTTGATCTGCTCTGCCGTACTTCATATGTGTTGTAAATTAGATCCACGTGTACTTCGTCTCGGAGCTGCCTTTTCCATAACAAAGCTAGGGGGAAATATGTATCCGTCTGCGGAAAGAGCAAACTTCCATTTTTATTCTACACCCCCACCCCCCCCCGTTTACCTTGAATTTCCATTTTCCCGCTCCTGACCCCATCATATCTATGAAGGTTTTTGTTAAATGGGGAAATTGCAGACAGTCTTTGATGCAACTTTCCCCCCCCCCCCTTCATTTTTTAATTTAAAATATTTGTTAGATGTCTTTCTCCCTGGTGGAACTCAAGGTGGCTTACAGTACAAATAAAACATAAAAACGGTTTTTGAGTTAGAAAAGCTGGTCGGGAGGGATGTAGTTGGGTCGCTGGGCACCCATCCCAAAATTTGTCCCCATATTCTTGCAGCTTTGGCAAAGCTGGTCCATCTACAGGAGACTTGCTGATGGAAGATAGAAGTTTGGGCAGCCCTTCTATGGAGGAGCAGTGCAGTCTAGTGGTTAGAGTACTAGGATCTGGGAGTTCGATTCCCTGCTCTGCCACAGAAACATGCTCGGTAAGAACATAAGAGACGCCAATGTTGGATCAGGCCAAAGGCCCATCCAGTCCAACACTCTGTGTCACACAGTGGCCAGAAATACCAGTGCCATCAGGAGGTCCAGCAGTGGGGCCAGGACATTAGAAGCCCTCCCACTGTTGACCTCCCCCCCAAGCACCAAGAAGACAGAGCATCACTTGCCCCAGAGCCCCTAGCTATACCTTGTGGCTAATAGCCACTGATGGACCTCTGCTCCATATGCTTATCTAATTCCCTTTTGAAGCCGTCCATGCTTGTAGCACCCACCACTTCCTATGGCGGTGAATTCCATGTGTTAATCACTCTTTGGGTGAAGAAGTACTTCCTTTTATCCGTTCTAACCCGACCGCTCTGCAGTTTCATGGAGTGTCCACGAGTTCTTGTATTGTGAGAAAGGGAGAAAAGTACCTCTTTCTTTACCTGCTCTTTCCCATGCATAATCTTATAAACCTCGATCATGTCACCCCTCAGTCGTCTTTTCTCCAAGCTAAAGAGCCCTAAGCGCTTTAACCTTTCCTCATAGGGAAAGTGTTCCAACCCTTTTATCATTCGCGTTGCCCTTTTCTGCACTTTTTCCAAAGCTATAATATTCTTTTTAAGGTGTGGTGCCCAGAACTGCACACAGTGGGTGACCTTAGACCAGTCACGTGTTCTCAGCTTAACCTACCTCCCAGGAGTGTGAGGATAAAATGGAGGAAGGGGGAAGGTTATAAGCTGCTCAGGGGAGGAAAAGTGAGGTATAAATATCTGAATCAGTAAATAGATCAATTTGCAGTGGGAGAGATTCATACCCTAGCAACTAAGGTTAAACGGGAGTTCCACGAGTGGTTGTTGTGGTAAAGCAGCCAAAAGTAAAATAATTGGAACACAGGAAAAAAAGAAATGAAAAAAATGTGCTGTGCAGATAAAGGAGAAGCAAGGAAACTGTACTGCGAGAGATGGCGCAGAGAAGTAGATTTGAGCCCAGTAGCAGCTTAAAGACCCACAAGATTTCCAGGTATAAGCTTCCAAGAGTCAAAGCCCTCTTCGTAGAAAAAGAATAAACAAAGAGCCTCAAGAGAACAAGATCCGGAAATGGAATCAAGCACAGGAAGATCAAACTGGTTTCTTGAACTTTTAATTTGAAGGACAAGCCATCTGGAAAGAGAGAGGCCTTACCCGGCAGCTTGACTTTGGCCAATATTGTTTCGAGAGGCAGATGCAGTCCTCGGTCCCATAATCCCAGAACATCATGGCCCATTTCGCTAATGGCCTGTGGCAGCTCAACACCTTTAATAAGTCGTGGACCGTTCCCATTTGCCGTTT